AGGAGGCGGTGAGGGGACACCCCGCTCGGCTCACCACCCGGGGAGGTGGGCCTGGCCGCACCCAGCCCTTCCCGGGCACCCCTGGGCCAGCCCTGCCCACTCACAGCCCGCCACGCCGGCTCTTCCTGCAGGTTCTCGACGTCCGGCCGCAGTCCAGCCGGTACCTCCCGCCCGGCACGAGGGTCTGCGCCTACTGGAGCCAGAAGTCCCGCTGCCTGTACCCCGGCAACGTGGTGCGAGGTGAGCCCCACTCAAGGCCCCCCAGGGAGGCCAGCCAGCCCCTCCCCTCAGGCAAAGCCGCAGACACGAGGCCCCCTGCGAGACTCCGAGTGCCATGCGAGGGACCCTGCCTTCCCAGGCCAGAGCTGCCAGACAGAGCAGACAGTAGGATCAGCGCTCTAGTCACCAGGAAAAGGTGTGAGGACAGGGTGGAGCCTTCGGCTGCCCAGAAGTCCTAGCAGAGAGGGGGACCAAGAGGCCCGGACCTGGGGCTGGTCACCTGGGCACCAGCTCTCCTGGGTGAATCCTTCAGACCACTCAGGCACGAGATGTGGGGACTCAGGGGTCTGACAGGTGGGCAGGTGGGCAGGTGGGAGGCCCATGAGTTTGCACACATGCCTGTGAGCGTAGGGAGAGGTCAGGGCCCCGCATCCCTGTGTGTGTGCCCCAGGATGGGGGTAGTGGATGACGGTCACATTGTCACTCCAGCCGCACTGCACATGGCGGAGGGGAGGTGGGGGGAAGGCGGGCTGTTCCCAGCGGCCACGGCCGCTCCAAGGTCAAATGTGATCAGGGAGCAAAATGTCCCAGCATCATTTGTCAGGCACTCGGGAGCCCATCCTGTCATCCTCCTATCCCGGCCACCCAGCCACCAGGGAGAATCTGTGGGCCCCCAGCAGAGGGCTGCGTGCTTAGGTGGGCCCTGTCCCCAGGCACCTCCAGTGACGAGGAGGAGGACCTGGACTCCGTGGTGGTGGAGTTTGACGATGGGGACACTGGCCACATCGCCGTCTCCAACATCAGGCTGCTGCCTCCAGACTTCAAGATCCAATGTGAGCCCCAGGGCCCCCAGGGTGGGGTCCTTCTCTTCCCGGGTCAGCCCTGATGGCCGGAGTCAGGCTGAGCCCTCCCTGGAAGGGAGTGAGGGGAGGCCGTCACCCCAGCGACACAGCGCCAAGGCCACTGGTCCACTCTGCAGGCACGGAGCCCTCACCAGCCCTGCTGGTGTCCAGCAGCTGCCGGAGGACCAAGAAAGCTTCCTGCGAGGCACCCCCACCCAGTGAGGCCCCCGCCCCAAGCCTGTCTCCCAAGGCCCATGATGGCCCCGAAGCCTCGAAGGCCCCTGGCAAGAAATCCATCGTCAAAGACAAAGCTGGTATGCACGGGACCACCCGGGCCTCTGGTGGGAAGGCACCCTCTGGGATGGTGGGGGGTCAGGCGGGCAGTTCCTCTGACTCCACTGGGCTCCTCCCCAGGCAAGGCAGAGCTCCTGCCCCCCGGCGCCAAGCCCCCTGCGGGGGCCTCAGACC